TATATGTGTGGTACTGTGGCCTGGTACACAGGGAATTGGCACGGTCCATATATATGCGTGGTACTGTGGCCTGGTACACAGGGAATTGGCACGGTCTATATATATGCGTGGTACTGTGGCCTGGTACACAGGGAATTGGCACGGTCCATATATATGTGTGGTACTGTGGCCTGGTACACAGGGAATTGGCATGAGTTCCCGCCCCACGGTCCATATATATGTGTGGTACTGTGGCCTGATACACAGGGAATTGGCATGAGTTCCCGCCCCACGGTCCATATATATGTGTGGTACTGTGGCCTGGTACACAGGGAATTGGCATGAGTTCCCGCCCCACGGTCCATATATATGTGTGGTACTGTGGCCTGGTACACAGGGAATTGGCATGAGTTCCCGCCCCACGGTCCATATATATGTGTGGTACTGTGGCCTGGTACACAGGGAATTGGCATGAGTTCCCGCCCCACGGTCCATATATATGTGTGGTACTGTGGCCTGGTACACAGGGAATTGGCATGAGTTCCCGCCCCACGGTCCATATATATGTGTGGTACTGTGGCCTGGTACGCGAGTCACTCATTCTTACAAACAGAAATTTTTTTAAGGAATATCCCCCAAATCAGGTACGCCAATGTTTGTATGTAAATACTTCACACATCATTTTATATCTAATAGCGATCGCATCGAGCGCTTCATGAGATTGTGTGTGGTAATTCATAACCAAAAAACTTATGCTGCCCATACGATCAACTTTAAACTTCTCCACCCACAATACATTTACCGCAGCACGCAATGAGAACTTTCAACCTATTGACTGAATTAAAACCTATTTTGACCGACAAAACATATTTTCAAGTTTTCATGTGGAAATGAAATAAAACTTAAAAGTTTTAAATAATTCAAATAAATCTAACAAACATTTACGTTATTGGTTTGAATCGCATGTAACACAACAACTCCTATATAGCTAATAGAGTTATCGTTCTTCAACAGTCACAACATTGTTATATGGGTACCGCAATGCACTCTTGGAGAGATTACAACAACTCGTTGAAAAATTCCAATTTTAACCATTCAAGATAACAGCACGTTTATTCGGTTCGTTTACTTTCGTCACTTTCCATGAACGAAAAATACACCGTCTCTTACACGGCAACAGCCGAAAGGTCCTGATTTGGCGTGAAACCTGTCCCGTCTCCCAAAAAATAATGGTTCAATTGCATTTTTTAAAACTTTTTAAACAGAGAGAAACCACTCAAAAACTAAGAGCAATGAAAACGGAGGGGAGAACTTTATGATTTTAATGATGAATACCTATAACACTGAAAACGTGATCAATTCCAAAATCCAATTCAGTGACTAGCTATGTTGTCGAAGGCTTTATTCATACATTTTTCATTAAATAAACAAACATACATTTTGGGTAAGATCAGTAATAACAACATTTCGATATATAAAGTTAACTTTATCTATTTAACAGATGTAACGTCCGCTGTAATGGTCTTTCAGCAGGCGAGATAAATTTGACAATCAGATTATTCTGGATATAAAAAAAGTATCTGTATTGTTACTTAAAATTTAATCATTAATCTAGATGTTCAATCATTGCTCATCAGAAAGCCCAATCTTGTAGTAAAGGAAAGATACCTTCTGTTAAATGTGTGTACAAATGGAAGAAAGTGGAAAAAATTCATAAAAGATATCAGAACAGCGCACGTTTTAAAACCACAGCTACCAGCCATTACCCCCTTCCTCCTCAATGTTTTTGTATACTATATTCGCATCTCTCCTCCCCCCCCCCCCTTCCCCCATCTCTCTCTCTCTCTCTCTCTCTCCTTACTTGCCTTATCGATTTATTATATCGACAAAATGCAATTTACAGAAGTTGTTAAAAGTTGAATAAACGTATTAAACGTTAAAAGACGGACCCTGTTGGAATCGCTCATCTCGTATAGTTTAACCTCACGCAAAGAAAAAACGGAAATTCATTAATAAATACCAAAACATAAGTACATGGTCAACCCCAATTGTGTATAAAATCTGAGTTCACCGTAACGTACGAACCACAGCCACATTCATAAAAGCGATTAGGTAAAGGGATAATGAGAACACTATCCAGGGTGCTTTTTTCATGTGACAACGCATGCTTTCCAGGGAAATCAAACTTAGCTTCGGGTATTACATTATGAAAATTGTGGAACTAAATTTCGGTCTCCACCTCCGTTTAACTAATTCTATTCAATTATTTTGGCATAATATCATTGTGCATCACGGGGTAGTTAACGTATATTGAACATATGAAAAACAGATCCGCTGCATCAGAACCCAACATCTTCAAATCTCACAATATTTCAGCTTTTTCGCGAAAATATTGCTACGTAGTTGGTTATTTTAAACATGAATACCGCTCGATAGACTGGTTTTATTAGTTGCGCCGAATTTTAAGTGAAGCAGCACCGTGTATGCAAATGATTATACACCCACAAAGACGACTTTATGAAACATCTATTAGAAATACACCAAAGGGACGACGTTGGCGTGTCTTTGCCTCAAAAGGAGGCCTTCTAACGTCACAATGTCCAAGTGACATGAAGGGTAAGTTCAACCTAGCATTTCAAAGTGAATAAAAACAAAATATCGAGACATGGTGATATTTTGGGTGATAAGGGCCGTACTTTTCCTGATTCATCTGTGGGTTTAAAAACGGCATCATAGGCATTGTGCAAATCATGAAATATTGCCTATTCAATAAAGTATTGAACTGTGATTGTAAGTGTTATACATCGTGATATTTACAACAGATAGAACACGAAACATCACGAATCTACAGTATTAAAAACCATGATTTAAAATGTAGCCGCTCTTACCTAAAAAGACGTGCAAACGAACATTACTTTCGCTATTTTTACACCACATTGGCGTCACCGACGTCATATGATCACGGCCCCGAAAATGGATACTCAGCGTTTAACGTGTACTCAACGTGTTTTCTTTCATCCTTTTTCGTTTTGTTTTAGAACTAGCAATATTACTTTTTTAAACGTGCAACTTTAAGAGAAACAGAAATCAAGTAACCAGGACACGAATTACCCTCGTGCGATATTTCAAAATTTACTCTTACGCTACATGTTTAGCCTACATATCTGGTATGATATACAGAACAGTGCGTGTTAGTAGTAAATGAGTGTAAGTCCTTTCACACGTGTTTTCTCTCCAATACCCAACGTGTAGATTCTACTTTTCAACGTACAGCAGGACCGTTCGGAAAAGTCGCTACAACGCCAACACGTCGCCATGCCTACCGTACGAGTCGTACGAACAGAATATATGCTACGTGCAGCTTTTAATCATGTATGTCATGTTGTTTCAGTTCTTATTCAAACATACAAGTAAATCCTCATTCAGAACAATGGTAATATAAAACTGGCCAAAAGACTTCCTTGTTAAACGCCAATGACGTAATACAGTGCATTATACGTCACTATCAAACAGTTAGAATAGTCTAGAATAAATAACAACATGTTCAATATAATCAATTAAAATTATTTCAAATGTGATATTTGAAAAACCACAAATTACAAGAGCTCTCTTTCTTAAACTGAGACGTATTTCAACACATCTGAATGTGTGAAATTGGTGATTTTTCAAAGCCTTTCAAACCGAAATAACGGACTGACGGACGGACGGACCCGAATGAGATTGATCATAACTTGACTAATTAGCGCATGACATTTTTCATCTCAATATCAATTGGGCAAGCTTATGAACATAGAATTACGTAGCCGCTAGGGTGGTGGAAAGATGACGGTATGGTGATCGAAAAAACAACATTTGGCAGTGGATGGGTTTTGGTAATTACAGAGATTTAAAAAAAAAGATACATGTACTAGTCAGCTTGATGAGGACACTATTGTAGTACTTTAATAGCTTATGATACTGATACTTTACTTAGACATTTTCATTTTAAGTCTGTGATGATGATGGTGTCACATTTCTGGTTCAAAGTGTTTAATATCTGTAACAAATACAAGCAATTTCATGGAATTTATATCTCCGCTTTCAAAGCATATTGTAAGTAAATATTTTAGAGGTTAGGAGTAAACATGTCATAATGCTATGTAGAATGATATAGTTTAATGATAAACTGATAATATTTGTTGGACTTCAAATTACATCTAAATCAGTTTATATTTAGGAAAGTTAGAGCACAAAAACTGACCGACCAAAAAGTTTCACCCAAATTGAATGTTTTTTTTTTTTTTTGGTTAAGTTAGAACACGGAAACGAAAGTGTGACAGACAGATGGGCGGACGGACGGACGAACCCAAATTAATTCCCCTCGTTTCGGTGAAAACGGGGGATAACCACCAAAAATATACATATTAAGCACGTCCTTGCATTCGATAACAAAACACAAGACGTCTTGACGAAACTGATCATATTGACATAAACAGCTATTTTAACACGCATTAGGAAAGCACGAATCTTACAGTTCATAATGTGAATCTTGTTGATCAACATAGATATGTTAGGGCTTTACCACACGGAAAATTATGGTGTAAGGGGGATAACTCGAAAATGCTTTAATTTGAAATGTATCCTAAAATTAGACCAAATGTCTCTGGCTTTAAGCACATTTTTTAGATACCATTCATCAGTCTATCAATTATTATTTCGAATATCATGACCGTTTTAGAAATATTGGATTACGAGTCACTCTGATTACGGACTACTACAAGTCTTTAAAAAAAAAAACCCTATCGCCGTGATTTACATAAAATAAACCGCTTCAGAATATAGTTTCCGGTGTAATGGTAGAGTTAATAATATTGCGTCAATGTAGTTAGATAACATGGTGAGTTATAAGAAAATGTTTTCGATGTTTTATTCAGTGGACTATCTTGACACTGGAACATAAAAAACCCGTAAACGTGCACATTTTCATATATATTCCTACGCAATTAAAACTACTTTTCTGTGCCATGGCCGGGACAGCTGTCAAACAGTCTCCGCGAAGTTGAAACATAAACAAAGCCATGCACCTGTCCATGAGCCTGTCCAGTTTTTACGATGGAGTCACCATACGATGGAAAAGCAGCGACATCATGCTGTGGCAGTATTTTTGTGATATAAACACAGGTATGTTAATAAAGAATGATTCAAATGAATGTATTGTAACCTTTCCGCTCATTGTCAGACGGAGATCGGTTACCAAGAGTTAATCTTGCGTTGAGTCTAACATGCACTTGTACAAGGACATGTTGCCACTATGAATTAAAAATATATCAATGTAGATTAGCCCTCGGATATAAACGATTAACAAAAAACCATTAATAGGAAGCGCGTTGCTTTGAATTTTCCGCTCCTGTTACACACGTAAGGTATACAGCTGCATTTTAGGGTGCAGAAAATAGGACCTGATTCATTTTGATATTGAGTTTTGTCTCATTGCTAAGTCATGCAAAAGTCATTAAATGGTTGTCCACTCTGCATAATGTACAACATTATGGTATTGCATAATAAATAGTTTGAACTTCGTTGTCAATGTAATGCGACCTGGTGTGTATGTAAAGAGTTCTTTGATCACCAGAGTTACGCAAACGGCTTAAATTTGCAATAGGAGTGGGTTGGTGTGGCTTGTATTTAGTTTTAAATACAGTCTGTGTCACTCAGCTGATGGAGCATGCTTCTTTGGCTCAGTTGGTAGAGTTGGTTAGTTATCATGCCATAGACCTGGGTTCGAATCCTGGTTGGGGCACTCGACAGAAATGTGTACTTTCCCTGTTCTTTCACATGGTGCCCAGCAAAATCCCACAAGTAGTGGTATTTGGAGTCTCGGGTTGAGATTTAGGAAATCTCCAGAAAAACGTGGGAGTAGTGTAGTAGGAGTGATTTGGCGTGGCTGGTATATAGTGTTAGATACGGTCTCTGTCACTCAGCTGACAGATCTTGCTTCTTTGGCTCAGTTGGTAGAGATAGTCGATTATAATCCCAGACACCTGTGTTTGATTCTTGGTCGAGGCACTTGACAGGAATGTGCATTTTCCATGTTCTTTCTCAAATTCATTGACCAAAGACATAAACAAGATAATAAGCAATGGAAGAGATCCAAGGGGGATTTTAGCCCCCAACAATTGTTTGATCTTTATTTGATCTTTTTTTTTTTTTTTTGTCTTTATAGAATGAAATTTGAAAATTCCTCTTCAGAAATAATGAAAACAAATCGTAACTTTCAAGGCAAAGATGACCACCTGTCTGCATGATATTTGGCTAGTATGTTTCTAGAATGGAGCCAGACAAAGTTTGTAGATAAGAAATGACCTTGACTTCTATGCGAGGTCACAGGCGTCAAATTTGGCTGGTATATTCTTCGGATGAAGCCCAACAAAGTTTGTGAAAGGAACGACCTTTACCTAGATTTTTTATTAGTCATTGCAGCTATGGTAACCAACATGGTAATCATTCAAAATATGCATACGTTATGCAGTTGTGAAAATTTTCGCAATTTTTACCATTTTTTTCCTAATATATAGCTAGTACTAGGTGAACGCTGCAGGCCTATTGGGCCTATTGTTTTCCTGATCAGTTGTAAAATCTATGGGGATACAACAAGGGACCAAAGGGAATTAACGTGTGAAATTCAAGAAAGATCCATTCTGTGCTTGAACACAGATAACAATTAAAGACAAACGGATTGACACCAGACTACGGGCTAAGGATGATTTAACAACCCATCATTTGATGATGGTTGACTAAACATTAGGCTAGAACGTGTGACCTTCCTTTAAACCTGTTGCGATCGCGGTGGACATTTACCAGTTTGCTTAATGGAAATTCTCTTTAACCAAATCTGGTAATTAAGGCGACTCATTCTCTCTTATTCTTCAATTCTCTCCTGATCACTCTAAGTTTTCAGCATCTAAGAAAACTACAACCGGTATGTTGCTTTGCTCTACAGGCCTAGTGTATGAATTAAGTTGTCAAGGGCACCAAACTTGTTAGTCCAACAGAAAATGCTCATTTTTTTAACCTGTCTTTTTAAACAGAAGAAACAGCCAGCATTGATTGTATTATCTCTGTAAATGTAATGATACTGGATTCCGTCCTTTCCTGTACTCTTGTTTGTTCTGTATTTTGTACAAATATGAATTGAATCTGCAAAATGCAACATGATTCTTATTTCATCCTGCACAACAATTAGTTTACTGTCCATTGCATTGAATAGATGATAAAAGTATAACTTCCATCTTCAGGTGATCTTAAAGATGTAGCTAATACCTAGAAGATATCCAAGTTGACTGTAAAAGGGAAGCTGATCCAAAACTCCTTTAAACATGGATATCAACTGTGGGATGGAATTACATTTTGCTGAGACTGCCAATCTTGAAGAGAGTGATTTTGTGTCTTCTGGAACAGGATTGTCAGAGACCTCTAATCTTGAGGAGAGTGATTTTGTATCCTCTAGCACAGAATTGTCGGATAAGCTTAATTTGGGTGCAAATACTGAAGCAGTTCATCATTTATTGGTACTTGATCAAGTCTCGCCTCCATCAAGGGCATGTGGTGATCATGATGGTAATGACAAACATCTCTCTGCAGCAGATTTCAAGCTTGATTTGGGTCCAGCAAATGATTTAGTATCTGCTGCAGATTTTCCTATTGAAAATTCGGTCACAGATATCACAAGTGATGGAGGTACAGAGGAGAACAGTGAGGGTTATAGCATACTAAACGCTGCACTGGAAGGCAATCCCGACCTAAAGCAACACATGGCCCCATCTCGTGCCACTGTCAATACAATTCCTACATTACCTTTAGGCTCAATCTTACCCAATCTCCAGGCTGTACAAGTTGTTCCCATTGCCAATCTTCAGCAACTCCAGCTTCTTACATCAGCAAGACCAACTAACAGTGACTCAACAGTGGCACAACTTCTGTCTGCGAATCAAAAGATGGGACATATACTTCAACTGGGATCACAGCAGACAAACAATCCAAAACTTATTCCACTGCTTCAACATGAAAATAACCAGGTGCTCGGTCTCTCCAACTTGGAAAATCAGAAATTGTCAATTGGTTCTAACCAGTGCTCAACAGATGCTTCAAAAACTGTTCAACAACTGATAAACTTACAGTCAGGTTCCACTTCAGCATTTTTACTAGGTAATCTTTTAGTGTTACAACCTGTTGCTAGCCAGCTACAAGGAAATATGGCTTTGAATCAGCCTTCTGTAACTTCTCTAGATCCAAACAGCTCTTTATGTGTAAACAATACTAACACAACTTTGCAGCCATCATGTGCAACTTCTTCCAATTTAAATACCTCTGAAGCACTGCTGAAGAAGATTGTTCCACGACCCAGTAGTTGCACACATTCAGTGACAACTGGCACAAACTTGCCTGTTCAGACGACTTTATTTAGTGTTGCTCAGACAGGTCCCAGTTCTTTGCATAGTGTCAATACAACAGGAAGTATCCAGCAGATGCATTGTGGGAAGAATGGAAATAAGATAGAGGAGACTGCTGCAGAAGCAGCTAGTTCTGATAAGGTAAACCAAGAACAAGACAAAACAGACAGTTTAAAGATTGCTGGACAGAAAAATACAAAAATTGTAATATATGGTAAAACAATATCAATGACATTTGACTGTAGAAATAAAAATGGTGTACTTCCATCAACTTCATGTAGAAATAAATCTTTAAATCAAGTTATTCCAGGAGTTTTAAATTCCCAACAAGGGACATCAACTGTGAAGACTTCATTAGTATGTTCTGGTACTGATAGCACCTCTAGTGCAGAAAAGAGCCGTATACCTACAGTCCAACCCAACTCCACAGTTAATTCATCACAGGTGAAATATGTGTCTATTTTAGAACCAAACATTTCTTCTAAATTACCTGGTAAAGCAAACAGTGTACAAACAGCAGTATCAACATCTTTACCAGTGCAAGTTCAAAACAAGTCAGATGTTGATAAAATCATGCAAATGAATCCGATCAAGCTGAATCTTGCTTCATCTCTTACAACATGTCAAAGTACCTCACAAGATCATGCGGATCCAAGTCATACTGTTGGACAGACTTCACAGACTAGTGAGATGGAGCAGGAACCAATGAAAGATGTAACTGTGATAGACCAAACAACTACTCTACAGGGTAGTACGAGGCATGAGTACAGATGTGATCTCTGCAGTGCTTCCTTCAATCGCTATGGCAACTACACTCGACATAGGATGATCCACACTGTCAATACAAAGGTTCGTGAAATAAACATTGTCCCAGTGTATGTGAATACATGATTTCAATCTTAGATTATGACTCATTTTAGTGTTTATGTTTGATGAAACACAACTGGTACAATTGTAGTTTGTTAAATTAATTGATCTAATAAAATTCAATTTTTTTTTAGGAAAAAATCCAGATCAGCTGATTTACCACATGCAATTTACCACATGCATTCATAGTGCAATGAATGCAGCCTTGATTTGTTTGTTTACAGGATGATTACCGTTATAAGTGTCAGGAGTGCGGAAGACTGTTCCTCCAGCGATGTGACATGAAGCGACACATGCTGATCCACACAAACGAGCAGCCATTCAGGTGTAATGAATGTGGCAGAGGTAAGCTATACAATGTATTTATTCATTAAATGTTATGTTTGTAAAATGATTACTGTCCATATCTAGTTTACGTTCAGTATTTGATTTGCCAGATAGTACAAACTTAATAAAGACATGACTTAATCTGTGAGGGGAGGTAACTGTTGCGACTCTATGTGTTGAATGTGTGATAATGTTAGACTTCCAGCTGTCTGTGTTGTATCTCCTAACGAAACCATCTGATTTTGATCTGCTTTCCTTTATTTACTTGTCTTTACCTTAGATAATATTTCTGGGGCCAAGCATGTCTAAAAACCTTTTGTTTAGTATAATGCTGAAGAGGTTCTTTAAATACTATAAGAATAAGATTTATACTAATATAGGATATAACAATATAGCATATTAGAGACAAAAAGTCGTCTGGGGTATAGAATCTAGCTGACAAGGGGAATGGAATTTGTATTTTAAAAAAAACTTGAATTTGTGTTGATTTTATTTTCACCAATTTTCTTCCTTGTACATCCTACAGGTTATATACGAAGGAGTGACTTGGTGGTTCACATGAGATTTCACAAGAAGGAGAAGACATTCAAGTGTGTTTACTGCTCCAAAAATTTCTATCAGTCAGGTAATCAGAGTTTGAATTATTTAATTTGTGTATTAAATGGTCATGTACTATCTTTGTTACTGTACACCTAAGAAATGTAACTTCTTTGTTTAACCTTTGTTTCTGAATTCATTTGAAATTTCTGGCATTTTTGCTGTTCATGTTTGCTCTGAAATATAAGTTTTTGTTATTGTAAGAATTTTCTGCAATTAACATGTTAAGAATGCATCTTTAAAAAAAAATTTCTGGGTCTCAAACCTAACTTCGTTAATTGAAAAGGGATTGAACATTTACATTATTCATGGAACAGATAGACATTAATTAAATAATGGATTTATGTGTCTGACTAAATTTCCTTCATGCAGTAAAAGAGAAAAAGTCTTTAAAATACCATTGATCTGTTCTCACATTCCTGTGACTGTAATTCTTAGGATGGAATTTTTTTCATTGGGATGTGCTGTAGAAAATCTCGTAAAATCTTATTTTAATTTTATTCATTCTATTGGACAAGTAGACAAGCTTGATAATAACTGCAATATTTCTGTTCAGGTGACCTAAACAGGCATATGAGGAATATCCACCTTCAGACTTCTATGTTGACTTGTGGTCACTGTAGCCGTCAGTTTGTGAAGGAGGCCACACTGATACGACACATGCAGACAAGACATCGTGACATTATCATTAAGACCCTGAAAACCAAAACCACAACATCTAATGCTGAGTGAGTTTCTTTTCATCATTACAGGTAGTTCAGGAACTATAAACTGTACATGAATAACTTAATCTTAAATCCATGTATAAAGTCCTACTATTGACGAAGTCTGACTTGTTCAGGCATGGTGGGATTTATTGAAGATGTCTGCCTGTGTAAGCAATTAACAACACTAGAATTGAATTTAAGAATATAGTCTCCATAAAGGCATGTGAGGTGTTTGAAAGAGTAGAGGATAGCTGAACATACACAGATGGTTTTAGTCAGCAGTTCAGATAATGTTTTACATTTTACAGATGATTTACCTATTTTTAAACTGTTGTAAGAATTTAATCAAGTTATACAACCCAACTTTTCAGAAATGAGCAGGAAGGCAATCCATCTAATATAAACAAGGACACATCTCTTAATAACCTGATGAAGTCTGAAGACATTGAGGATATTATAGAGGATGTTATACACAGCAGTAACTGTATAGGGAATGAAACAGATGACACTATCCATATGGATGAGACTACACCAATCACACCCACCTGTGATGTGGAAACCTCGTCAGGGATTATACAGTTTGAAGGTCAAGCATTGAGTAATGAGATCCCACAGACAGAAGGCCAGTAAATAGTGCTCAGCTTACTTGACATGTTCTTTCACAGGCTACTGGTAATCCTACCAAAAGGAAGTGTTGAAGGAATACATAAGCATATGGTTTGAAATCCTTTAGTATTTTGTAGTGTTTCTACCACTTGAATTATTTTCATTATCTTCATTTGGTCTATTCTTGATTTGCAATCTCCTGACAGCAAGGGGAATTTAAGAATTTGTCAGGTTTTTGTGGAAGAGGAAAGCCTGTGTTGCAGAAAAACAATCAAACTGCTGTCAGTATGGTTCTTTATTGGCGACTCCCAACATAGGCATCAAACCAGTGATCCAGAGGTGGAGAGCTAGTGAAATAGACAGCACTTTAACCACTCAATTCATTGATATTCGTATTTCTGCATGGTATATTGAAAAGTGTCACATCAAGTGCTATTATAAAGAAATAAAGACACTATGTTAAAGATTATTTCACTTTGATAACTGGTCACAGGGCAATATTGCATTGACAAATGAAACCAAATATAAAACTCAACATCCTCTTTCTCTACATTCTTGGGTAATAAAGAGTGAAGTAAGAAAAACAGTAGCATCAATTATTTCCAACAATTCCGAACGTAATCAACCTATACATATAAAGATGGATAGGAGTTCTCTCCCTTTCCCTACACACAAAGGTTTTGTTTAAGGCAGATTTGGGGATTTAGTTTTCCTCTCTGTCCATCTGTCCGTCCCTTTATCTATGAAAGTTTGTCAGTGCTCTGGCTGCTTCATTCCTTAAGGTATTTAAATCAAACTTCACACACTTATGAAGCCTCAAAATATCTTCAAGTTCAAGTTTCAGGGTTGTTGGGTCAAGGTCACCTGTGGTGACCAGTAGGGAACATTTATTGCTTCAGCAATAATTGTTATGCTTGTTATTGTATAATATTGTTCAAAAAAACTAATTCAATGTGATTTTTTCTAGATGTGAAGAATTGCATTTATGGGAAGTGCAGAACAAACAATACACTATGTATATAATTTCTTGTATTCATGGGGAATTTATATCACTTTTGCTCATTTCAGACTGCTGAAAATTCCATCTTTGATAAGATATTTGAAGATATCTGTTTACTATAAAATTCATATAAGACTTCATCAAAAGCAAAAACATTCATCCTAGATCTTAAAGAAATAAACATGAAATTTTAGCCCAGTTAAATTAAATGATTAAATGATACATAGATGGCTGTAATTTATCAAATAAATTTCAAAACCGTATTTACCTCATATATATATTTATAAATGTTATATCTTCATTGCTTATTGTTTATCAGTTTTTAGGTCATCTGACCCGAAGGGTTATGATGACGTTCTTCGTCCGTCATCGTGCACTGTACGTAAACTTTTGACATTTCAAACTTCTCAAGTTCCACTAGTGGGATTGAGCTCAAAATTGCATGAAATGATCCTGAGGTGGTTCTGACCAAGTGTTTTTATTTTACCGGTTTGTCTGAAATCCAAAATGGCCACCATCTTGAAAAACATATTTTGAACTTATTGAGCTATTGAGCTAAAAAGTGTTATTTTTTGACCTTGTCAAAACTTCAATACAGCAGCCAGGGAGGTTATTTTGTAACGTGATTGCACAATTTTTTGTTTTCCTGTGCAACACCTCTTCTCAAGTTTCACCAGTTGGATTGAGCTCCAACTTTACTGTCAAAGAATAGGTAACACTTGTTACAGTTACCTACTCCTTACCAAAACTACCATCTGCATCATGGAAAACAGCTTCTTAGTAAGATTTCATTCAAAGTAGAAAAAATTACCTTTCTTCCTGCTGAAAGTATTTGTAGTAAGATGACCGTTAAAGCCCATGGGCCCCTTGTTTATGTATGGTTCCCAGATAAATGCCTGCCAGATATGTATTCTTTATGTAATTCAATGGTTCATGTTTAGAATAGTTACAGCAACAGTGAATATATATATACCGTAGAAAGTGACCAGCCAAATATGTATTCACACAGCAAAAAACGCATGCCTGGTAATGATACAGCTCATACTTTTTGGCTGTTCAATAAAATAGTTATGTAATTGTCTTGAAATAAACTATTGACTTATTGCAAGATCAGTTTGGTAGATATAATGTAATAGGATTGTTCCATTCAGGTATGTATTGTTTACATGCATGCGATAATATTAACTCTAGGTATTGCATGTGCAGATGAAATCAACTGTGTATGTATTGTATGTGATGTAAAGGGGAGGTAATACTAACTGTTTGTATCGTATGTGATGTAGAGGGCAGATAATACCAACCGGTGGTATTGTATGTGATGTAAAGGGGAGGTAACACTAATTGTTTGTATTGTACGTGATGTAAAGGGGAGGTAATACTAACTGTATGTATTGTATGTGATGTAAAGGGGAGGTAATACTAATTGTTTGTATTGTACGTGATGTAAAGGGGAGGTAATACTAACTGTTTGTATTGTATGTGATGTAAAGGGGAGGTAATACTTACTGTTTGTATTGTACGTGATGTAAAGGGGAGGTAATACTAACTGTTTGTATTGTACGTGATGTAAAGGGGAGGTAATACTAACTGTTTGTATTGTACGTGATGTAAAGGGGAGGTAATACTTACTGTTTGTATTGTACGTGATGTAAAAGGGAGGTAATACTAACTGTTTGTATTGTACGTGATGTAAAGGGGAGGTAATACTTACTGTTTGTATTGTACGTGATGTAAAAGGGAGGTAATACTAACTGTTTGTATTGTACGTGATGTAAAGGGGAGGTAATACTAACTGTTTGTATTGTACGTGATGTAAAAGGGAGGTAATACTAACTGTTTGTATTGTATGTGATGTAAAGGAGAGATAATACCAACTGTATGTATTGTATGTGATGTAAAGGAGAGATAATACCAACTGTATGTATTATATGTGATGTAAAGGGGAGGTAACACTAACTGTATGTATTGTATGTAATGTGAAGGGGAAATAACACCAACTGTAGATATTGTGTGTGACGTAAAGGGTTGATGACACCTACTGTGTATGTATTGTATGTGATGTAATGGGAGGTAATACTAACTGTTGGTATTGTATGTGATGTAAAGGAGAGATAATACCAACTGTGTGTATTGTATGTGATGTAATGGGAGGTAATACTAACTGTTGGTATTGTATGTGAGGTAAAGGGGAGATAATACCAACTGTAGATATTGTGTGTGACGTAAAGGGTTGATGACACCTACTGTGTATGTATTGTATGTGATGTAATGGGAGGTAATACTAACTGTGGGTATTGTATGTGATGTAAAGGGGAGATAATACCAACTGTTGATATTGTGTGTGACGTAAAGGGTTGATGACACCTACTGTGTATGTATTGTATGTGATGTAATGGGAGGTAATACTAACTGTGGGTATTGTATGTGATGTAAAGGGGAGATAATACTAACTGTTGGTATAGTATGTGATGTAAAGGGGAGATAATACCAACTGTGTGTATTGTATGTGATGTAAAGGGGAGATAATACTAACTGTTGGTATAGTATGTGATGTAAAGGGGAGATAATACCAACTGTGTGTATTGTATGTGATGTAAAGGGGAGATAATACTAACTGTTGGTATAGTATGTGATGTAAAGGGGAGATAATACCAACTGTATGTATTGTATGTGATGTAAAGGGGAGATAATACCAACTGTATGTATTGTATGTGATGTAAAGGGGAGATAATACCAACTGTGAATGTGTTATATGTTATGTAAAGAGGAAGTTACTGCAACTGTGTGTGTGTTTTTTTATGTAAATGGGAGATAACACCAACTAGCATGTATTTTATGACATGTAAAGGACAGGAAATACCAACTGTGTATTTATTGTATGTGTTTGTAGTGTATGTAATGTAAAGGGGAGGTAAAACCAACCGTGCATGTATTGTAGGTGACGTAAAGGAGAGGTAATAGTAATGTCATATTGTTGCAGTGTAATTTAATTTATTGGTGACAGCGGGTCTGTTTCCCAAGTATCTTAATAAATGTCGTTGAAATCTGAAGCGTTCCTTGGTATTAGCTTGTTAACAACTTACTTTCCGGCTTACACATATTTTGTTTCTCACGTGATTTGGCGTTTAACTTTTTATGCCATGTTACTTGTCTGATTACATAAAGCTCAAAGGCAGTTTTAACACACGACCTGACGAAGAACCGTTTTGTACATATATATTACAATTAGCCTGCTAAAGCCGTATGACCGATGCTTGTCTTATGGATCTAGTTTCTACTTAGTTTAATACAAGTTTCTATGACCTCGGCTGTAAGTTACAGTTCTTGCAGATGTTTTTGGATATTTGTTCATGCTGCATCCGGATCTTCCCAGAAATTAGTTAGTTTTGGTTTTAGGTCATGATACGTCTTTCTGACTATTTCTAAATAAAATTCCACTATTCCAATGGATTGCAATATATGCAGCAGTTTTCAATTTCAACAGAAAAAATAAGTTTATATAGAAGAATATAGCCAAATAACTTCTAAAAAAAGACTAGCTATGATAATTTAAACATGAGAAATTTGTCCAGAAATTGCTGTTATTTTTACCGTCTGCTATAAAAATTCGAAGATGTGTTTCAGTGCAGCAGAATAAACTGTTTATCGACGGTTGCGTTCGCTAAAGTAACACGTTTATTATCGGTAAATTCGTCGTCGAAGATACAGGTAACTTGTAATTATCTAGTAAATTACAACGGAATTAGTAAATAATAGCTTCTATATAAAGGAAACAACTTCTGCCAGCTCCATTTTGTATGTTTAAACTAACAATACTATTTGATGCCAGCATGGCTCGGAAGGTTATGATCAAAAATTTATTTGGTTTCGTGTTTTAAACAAAATCCGAACGAACGTTAAATTACGTTAAAGTATGCACAACTGCATTAACGCACGTTAAACTACAGGTACAAGAGGAGGTATACTAAAGTACATGTAAGTACGCCGAAGTACGCTCAGTTGTTTTCAGGCTTCCAATACATGTTATTTTTTCAGCTTGTTCAAAGGACAAATCGCTACTAACAGCATTCTCAAGGTTTTCACAATTTATTCTGAAGTAAAACTTTGGTAGTAAGCACATTAAAGTAAGTGAAGGGACGTTAAATTACGCTGAAGTATGTTAATATAAGTACGTTAAGCTACGTTATTTAATGGATGTGTGACAAAGGCTTAAGTGTTAATAGGTTTACTTTAGAGTGCTGTGTAATTTCTAAGAAAACTTTAATATTCGTGCGTTAGAATATAACTAGTTCAAAATTGATATGTTGTAACCTACATGTTTGGTCGTCCATGTCAATCCCTCTTATTGTGGATGTTTCTGACGATATTCTAACTTTTTCCATGAATTTCACACTTAAACGTGACATTCCTTCTCAAGAGTACCGCTGATCATTAATTTTGATGATGAATTCGTTGTCTGTTTGTTACACGTCTTAGTGTTATGTATATACATGTACATCTATATGTACCACAATCCATCTTACTTTATTTATAATGTTATGCTTTTGTTTTATAAATAATTCTTTTTACGGAATTTTTACACAATTAAACGACGTTGAGTATGTGCTTGTACAACATTGTCCATTGATAAAAGCCGTAAACAAATACTGTAGGACGTGTAGATATTTAATGGTTCCTGTCAGAGATTTGTTGTTGGATAATCTGGACATTTATTACTTATGAACAGGACACACACATACATATATATATATGCACCGCTGTTCACACTGGTGTAAGACAGAGTTACACCTAAAGGATTGGTATGGGGAAAAGACAGGGCGTGGCTATATTTACGGAGGATAATATTCAATATCATGTAAATTATCCATGAAGCTACCGGCTTACAAATGCATGTATTTATATGCATATATTTACATATGAATATATAAATCCGTGATGGAAGTAAATAATAAATCAATGGCTGAATTTCGAAAATATTCTTCAAAAAAATATTGACAAATTTTCATTGGATTTTTTTCATTGACATCGTATAGGACTTAATGTTGACGACTACAAAAGTATTTATGGCGACAAGGACAATTTATGATAAAATCGTCAGTCGTCAACACTATCCGATAGTAAGCGTACATATTGAATCTCTTTATCATTCATCCTTTGCTACGACAAGGATATCTAGATCTGGTTTGTCAGTTATATAGTAGTAATATTACCCTACACATGGATGCAAAGTAATTCTGGTAAGACTCGTCTTTTTTAGGCGGATC